AAAAACAAAAAAAACAAACTTACAACTGAGCATACGGCAACCAAAACAAATCAAACAATCATGCAATTATATCAATATTCCAAACCAAGAAAAACATTGGCAAAAAACATAAGAAAGAAACCGCTAGCCCACGAAGCGCGTCCCTCTCTGCTGCAGTGGCTTGTAGTGGCAGCGTGCGTATGTTTAGCCTGTTCGGCTCTGCCTCACTCGTGGCTCCTGCAGGCTGTCCACCGTTCTCCAAACTCTGCAGTCTCGACCCGGCCGAAGGTTGGCATTTCCATTCTGCCGTCAATGTCTCTCTGTTCCTCCGCCGCTCTCAGCACGCACGTCCTGCATGTTTGTGTTGCCTCCCCGACTAACTGTGAAGGCAGGTAGAAGACACCGCTGTGGAGCCCAATGCACCAATCTCATACACAAACACACACTCACTCAATTGAAGCTAAACACCTTATCTTGCTCTCTCCCGTTTATCTTTTATCACTGTTTCTCTCCTTATCCTTGCTGTTAGCTTACTACACCGTGTACACCGTATTTGCTGCCAATTCCGCCTTCTCCGTCCACTACTTGCATACAGAATTCTTTCAAAATAAACTTGCGGTTTAACAGGACATATCAAAATAAAAGCATGTAAAAGTGCATTATAAACGTAAACTCTATTTGGGGTCATTTACAATTAGAAACGCTTTCATTTATGTCTTTTGAGAAGATGAGAACATCATCAAGGTAAACAACCACAAAGCGGTTCAGGAAATCTTGCAGCACATTGTCAATAAGAGCCGGGAAAACAGTGGAGGCAGTGGTCAAACCAATCTTTCTTTGCCACAAAAAAGAACCCAGCACCCCCAGAGGAAAGGAAGAGGGGCAGATAATAGCTGCAGCCAAAGACTCTTTGAAGTTCCATAACTTCTCATTTAAGGCATGAAATTTTGTAGAGTTGACTGATAGGTAGAGGCGCCCCTGGGAGGGGATGGATTTTGCAATCTTATGAGCGATGAGGAGGCAGTGAGAGAGCCAGCTCCTTACTGAATACATCTTCCAAGTCATTATTCAGAAGCAATGGTTGACAAATCAAAGGTTTGGGTTTAGGTGGAGTGCTGGCACCTTCTGTAGTAGATAAAGTAGACTGCAAACATGATGAAAAGCAGAGGGAACTCCAACCAGTGATTCTGCCCAATTTCCAACCAATTCGAAAGTTATGTAGTTTTTACCAGTATAATGACCTTGGCTCAAGTGGCAATCTTGCTTAAGATTGGTTAAGATTAATAAAAAAATATTTTTATTAAACCAAATTATGAGACCAAATTGAATGTTCTGAGAATGAGGTGTGGGAATCAGTAAAATCAGTAGTGTGAAAAGAAAACTCTATTCTATGAAAATACAAACAATAAATCACTCACAGGGAGGTTACAAAAACTACTATAAACTTGACAAACAGAAAACTCTATTCTATGAAATTACAAACAAAAAATCACTCACATGGAGGTGAAGACTAAGTATAATAAGGCAAAGACAAGGCAAGGCATGGACTGTGATAGTAGGCTGGGGTGCACGACAGGAACGAGACACTCTGGCACAGGACAAAGGGAGACGCAGACTATAAGACACATGAGGGCAAATGGGAAACAGGTGGACACATTCAGGAATCAGGGAAGACACTAAGACAGGTGACACATGAGGAAGGGCAAGTGACCTGAAACGAGAGGAGAGTTAACCTTTCAAAATAAAACAGGAAATGACAAGACATGGAGACAGGACAAACCCCAACTTGACCTCACCGCGTGACAACCAGGATCCCCTTCTCTATTGGCGAGTCCTGCCTTTTGGTTGCAAGCGGCAAGAAAATGTCTAAACTGGCCACAGTAAAGACGCTCACCCACTCTCATCCTACACAGTCTCTTGGCTGGAGACAAACAAGCCTGAGCTTCATGGACTCTTCCTCTGAACCTCAAGGCAGCAGGGGATCTCTAGCAACTGTGCTTGGGGATGAAGAGACTCACTTTCTTGTGAGAGCTGGAGGAGGTAATGGACCCCTGCCAGCTCATCATTACCTAGCCCGGTAGGTCAGAGAAGCTAGTTAATCTTTTAACTGTTCAAACAGGATTGATGGAGGCCAACACCCACCAAAAATGTGTTCTTCGTGCCAAGAATGCAGATACAGCTCTCACCTTTGTTATACTTGTTATAAAGAGCTTCTTAACTACCTCAGAGACCTTGGCTAAGAGTGAGCCAAGGTGCAGCTTCAGCTGAGTCTTCAGACTTTGTCTCCTCCTCAGAGGACATATTGGTTGTGGTTAGGAGTGTTCCTTCCACCACCCAATGATATCTCCCGTCCAAATTATCAGTTCTCCTAATGGACTAATCCCTGCTTCCCCTTGCTGGTTGGATGGTTTGCCAGATCCTTCTTAAGGCCAACTGAAATTCCTTCTCCATGGACTCTTTGAATTCTTCCCACACCTGGGTTATAGCATCAACAATTTATACTGTCTTATGCCTGATATGCATTTCTGCCACACTCACACACATCAGGGACTCTTCCTCCTGAGCTTCTGCCACAGCAGATCTTAGTGCTGCATTTGACACCATTGACCATCCCATCCTATTACAGAAACTGGAACATTTAATTGGCATTAAAGGAACTGCACTGAGCTGGTTTAAGTCCTATTTATTGATCAATTTCAGTTTGTGCATGTTAACAATAAATTCTCCATGTACGCAAAAGTTAAACATGGAGTTCCACAAAGTTCTGTGCTTAGACCAATTCAATTCACCTTATATCTGCTTCTTTCAGGCAATATTATCGGGAAATACTTCATAAACTTTCATTGTTATGCAGATGACACTCAATTGTTCTGGTCAGTGACACTTTGTGACACTGATCAGTTGGCTAAACTTGGAAGTGATCAGAAGTTGGCAAGACTCTGAATGTGGGATTTCTTGATCCTACAAGCACTCACTTCACTGAGAGGAAATACTGCAGGATGCACTCTGCAGCAGGAGCATGGCTGCACCCCTTTGTGACCAACAGTGGTCACAGACACACTCCAAGGCCTCAAGTCCGTAGTTTCTCAACATGCTGTCAGCATCTGATAGTAAGACATGTTGCTCTTTGTAGAATTTAGTTCTCCCTATAATGTGAACAAAATGGAATAGGTCTGCGCCTCTGCCTGTGTGAACATGATGCTACAGAACTTGTTCTAATCTGTCAAAGTGACAGACAGCCTTCAGATTATTCCGTCATTTTTAAAAAAAATTCAGTCTGACAGAAAATATTCAGTTTGCTTGATTTCTGCTTGTGGAGCTGTAGAGTCTGGATCTGTGACTATGAACCACCTGCTGCCCCTATGATTCTGCTCAACACCCACTGCTACAACTATTATTATTATTATTAGACAAATTTATCTGGAACTTGCATTGTGAAATTTTGTCTTTCCTCCTGCTCTCTCTCTCACTTAGTGCACTGAGGTAATTTCAGTTATGATGTGGTGCTATATAAATAAAATCAACTTGACTCCTGTAAATGGAGACAACACAACTCCCCACCAGATGTCTCACTGAAGAAAGTAACAGTGTCACTAATGGGGAAGATTAATTTGTCCATTCATCTGCTACCCTCTCCGAACCACCACCCCCACCTCTGAAGGTTAAATGTGTTTCATCTCACAGTCAGATAACAGTAGTGATGGTGGTGAAGGAGACAGTAGCCATGTTTCCATTAACCTTCTTAATGTGCAATTTGAAATTGCGAACTAAAAAACGAGTAATGAAACATGAATTTAAATAAAAACTGTCAACTGTGACAAAAAAACGTATACGCTGAGAGTGTTTTCAGGCTATTCCACAAAACAACATTTTGCTAAAGTGAAATGGAAACACTTTTTCCACATTTAAGTCACATGACATGACTCAGTAGTCACATGACATCCAAAAACATTAAAGACTATTACCTCCCAAAAATCCCTGATGAGATGTCACTGTCAGATATAAGAGTTTGTCTTTCCATTATTACCTGCACCAGACGCTGTTCGATTAAATAAAGCGGCTGCTTTTCAACAATTATCAGATGCTTGAAATCCATCGTCATGTTTAATTGAGCAACATCATGAGAGGAAAAAAAACAGCTTCATTCATCTAACATCACTCAGTGGAAACACAGAACATTCACTATTGTGTATTGTTGACTTTTATAAAAAATCGCCTCTATCTTGTGCAACACTACAAGGGAAAAGCAGCTGGTGTAATTGTTGGTCAGCTACTCTGACGTGTTATTATGGGATTTACATTAACAGAATTCAAGATGCAAAAATATTAGAAAATCATTTGGCTACAACATCGGTCTAAATAATGACTTCAAAAGAAATTATGTGCTATTATAAAAATCAATATTAATAATAATACCTGTCAGATTTTCAAATATGGAAATACAACTGAAGAGAGACAACATTTCAAACCTCGGTTTTCAATTGCCAAATGTAACAAAAGACAATACAAAAAAGATGTTTACTCCACCTTCTCCTGAATTCACAGTTATCCTACATTTGTCCTGCACTTGGAATTAGCTTTTTTTCATGTGGCAAATAGATGGTCTGTCACCTTTGCTCAAGTGTTATGTGAATCTTAGTGAAGAGTCATAAAAGATGAAATGTAAATATAAGCTGGTCGCTCTGAGATCTGTGTGTCTTTCTCATTATGGTCTTCAGTGTGTTTATTTAAATCAGAGCAGGTTGAATGTTTGTCTTGCAGGAACGTCTTGCTCCTCTCTTTTCTTTTGTCTCTCCCTCTCCATGTTTGTTTCTGCTGGTGTTGGCTTTTCAGCTCAGGGAGGGGTTCAGTCCTCTTATCTTATTGGCTCATGCCTCTGCTCTGTCTCTCCGTCACTGTAATGAAAAGGGGGAATTGAGCAGCACTGTGATGTCACCCCCCTGCACCCATTCACTCTTGTCCTCTCCCTGCCTCCTTCTTTCCTCGCTCTCATCTCCTGTGCTCTGTGACTGATGGTGGACGGCTGGTCATGTGATGTTATAATACCCAGGGATTTTCTGCCAGGCATGCTCTGTAGCCTTCTCTCCTCCTTCTATCCATCCCAGTCTGAGGAGTGATTGCCTATTATTGTCCTACATCCAGCAGCTCGCTGGGGGATCTATTGTTAGCCAGTGGTGACATTCACCATGGCTATGACTGTGGGCTGAATGGTTTGTTGGAACCCTGTCATCAGAACACACTGTGGACTACATGGTAACAGACCGCAGAGGGACGTGGCAGCATTTCTACATGTGACTGGTAAGTGACATGCTTGTTGTGTTTGTGTGTGTGTGTGTGTGTGTGTGTGTGTGTGTGTGTGTGTGTGTGTGTGTGTGTGTGTGTGTGTGTGTGTGTGTGTGTGTGTTTGTGTGTGTTGCTGTTGAGCTTATTTAACCATGCCTCCAATCTGTCATTATTTTTAGCAATAAAGGGTACCTTATTGAACATTTCCATTGATAACTACACGGTGTATTCCAATATAATTACAGAATGGTTGCTTCAGTGTGCGTGTGTGTGGTTGTGTGTATGGGGCCAGGAATAAATTAATCTTTTCACGGCTCCCCTCTGTGCTCTAACTGAATAGCTCTGCTTTGACATTGATATTCTATCAAATGATGATTAATGATTATTGATTGTTGATTTGTATGTAGTGCAACTGTCTGTACTGACTTTGTACTGACTGTTTATTCAGTCAGTTTTGTGTGTGTGACATCATAAGTGTTAAAGAGCACCTCCTCTGTTTACATCATAAACACAGAAAGAGGGTGTGTGTGTGTGTGTGTGTGTGTGTGTGGACAGCAGCCAACAGGCCACAGTCAACAGCTGCCACCTGTACTCACTGGCAGCTCGTCTTTCAGTGTCAACATGGCAACAATGTGGGCCAAAGTTATGGACTGAAAGACTGATGTTGCTGATCCTTGTCTGGCTCAGGCATAGATATTGACCGCTACAGCAGCCTCATGTGTCACAGCACAGGCAGGGGGTCCAGCTGTTTCTGCCTCTGGGTGCCAACAACAGGACAGGACGCTGGTCTTACCTGAGACCCAGGGAGCTGGACCAGCTCCCAGAGGCACTGTGAACTGACTGCTGGGCTGCAGGTGTGGACTAGTGTCCTCTATGAGTTCAATGTTGGTTTGAGACTGAAGCTGAACCAAAACACTTCAGAGATCTCAACTTAACAGCAGCTAACTCCTCCCTTCTTCCTCTACTCTAATACAACTGCTCTTATCAAAACTCTTTATAATATCAATACTCATCATTACTATTTATATTTTTAGTATTACTAAATATGGTTTCTGTAGCTGTAATTCTACATGGTAAACTAGGATAAACAGTCACATACAGGTTATATTCAGGCAGTTTATGTTTTAGTTCATAACAATGTGCTGTCAGCCTAAACTTGTAGGAACACAGGTTGTCTACAGATGTATGCTTGTTGAACAGCTGCTTTGATGGATTAGCTTTTTCCTATAAGGTTTCACTGAACTGACAGTGATGAGTACACTTGTTATGAATGTCAGATTAAAGAGTAAACCACCTTTTACCTCTCTCCTGGCCTGCTCTGGTTGTGGAGCACAAGCTTAGCCCCACCCCTGGGCAAACACCGTCACAGAGAGCAGACATGGCTGCAAGCTCCACCGTAAATTACACCAAGACACATTTTCTGATCTGCTCATCTCAATCCTGGTCAAGCAGCTAGAAAAGTGAAACTTGATTCTCAGTTTGTTTGACCATGGGAATAAAGAAAAAAGAGAAAGAACAGGCGGATTTATAAATCCATGAGCTTTTATTTACATCACACTCAGTACTATGTAAACTGTTGTAGCAGGTGTCAGTCTGAGTATCTGTGACTGCGATTCATCTTTTAATGCTACACACATGTTTTTATGTGATTAGACATGTGATAAAGCTGATGTCACTTTAATCAGTCAGTAAAAACAAGCAGCTGCAGCGTCGTCCTGAGACAGACAGTAGCACTAACATTAGTCACTAACAGGAAGAATAAACAAAACATATTTAATGAATGAGAACCTTCATTATACATGGCTGTGACAACAGACAACACCAACACTAAACCTGAGCTACATAACACATCCTGTGTATAATTGACTTCATATGTCGTTCATGACAGAGAAGAACAGACTCACATTCTGAGTGTTTTTGTCACATGACACAAGATTTAAAATACTGTATCTGTTGAATGTGCATGTAATTTCATAATGAATTGACATGAGGGCGCCATGTTTTTGCCTGATAAATTGTTATCAGGCACTTTTATTGCTAGTAGTAGTATAGGAAAAATTTTCTCCAGTATAACATGAAGATGACATCACTGTTCACTATAATATTGACAGCAAAGATTTAAGAGACAGTTGATCCTCTGATACTCTGTCCAGTCAAAACACTTTAATCATGTCCAGGTAAATACATATAAATGTATCAGATTTTAATTTGATTTGTAGTATTCATTTGCAGTGAATCATCTTGTACATTGTAAGCACTGTTACTGTACCTATGAGCAGAGTAAATGTACAGTAGATCTGGACTGGACACTGAAACAGCCCTGACCAAACAAAGGTGAGCAGACAGGGAGAGTCCAGCAGCTTTAAACAGACAGAGATTCTCCACCCCTTTAACCCTTGGTGGACCAGGACATGGCTGCTTTTTTCTGGACTGATGCTTAAAAAGGTTGTCTCTATTTATTTTGCAGCCACAGCAGAATCATAAGTCAGAGAGCGTGTAGGTATATAGACATGCAGATAAACAGACTGGCTCTCCTGTGTCATGTGGCAGAGTGCTGTACTGGATGCCACATGGCAGCATGAAGATAATCCAGGCCAATTCCCTCCAATCCTCAGAGCAGAGCTGATCAGAGGCGAAGCAGGATGAGGAGGCTTTGATTCAGGCTTCCGCTGCACACTGTGATGTATGTACTGTGTGTGTTTGTGTGTGTGTGCTAGTGGTTTGCTATATGAAGCTAAATTTCTGGATTTGTGTTTCTGTGGTAACAACTAGTAGTGAAGTAAACAATGAGAACTTCAGTGAACTTCAGTATAAAGCTGAGAAGTACAGTATATGAGTCAGCAACATCCCACGACTGGATTAGAGAAGACACATCCACAGGACTACAACTCTGTGGTTTTCTTCAGACTACTAGAAAAACATTTCTACAGATTGATCTAAATGATTTACAATAAAACACAAAGTAAATATTAGTTTATTATTTTCCCTCCTCCAGTCAGTTTGATAGAAGCACCTGTCAGAGTGTGTGGATGAATGAGTGTTTCCTGTTGGTGTGATGGATTGACTGTGTTCAGCCTGATGACTCTGATCTGACTGTCTCCTACACCGTCACTACAGCATGAATCACACTCAATCACCTGTTATGTTGTTTGGTATGAGAGGGTGAACACATGATTGTTGCATTGGTACATTCCAGTGATTTTGAAGACAAAGATCAGTTTACTCATCACTGCTCTGCTTTGAACAGCTGTTTAATGTCTTCTGTCTGAGAGAATAACCCTGATATTGACATCCATAGTGATATTATCTAAGCTATGATGTGTGGTTTTACAGGATTGGCTGGTGTTAGTCAGCACCTGAAATCACCTTTAACTGGATAACTGATCTAAGTGCCTCAGTATCAAGATGAGTCAGAGAAAATATTTCCCCATTCAGTGTCAGCTCATCATTCCTGTTCCCTGTTGTTTCCTGATACCTGTGTTTCCCTGTTTCTCTGCCTGTCGGCCATCTTGTGCTCACATCTGACTGTAAGCCTGTTTTTATCTATTAACATCAGTGTGTATGTGTCCCTGCCAGAGTAAAGGCTGTTAACACCCGCTCTCCTTACACTGTTTCCAGGGGAAGAGTTTGCCTTGGATTAAGTACACACTTAATCCGTATGTTGAATGAGTGTGTGTTTGTGTGCATGCATGTGTCTGTCTGTCATTACCAGTCACAGAATGAATCAGTTTATATGAACGTCCTGATTTAAAGTCAGATCCTTAGAAGGTATGTTCGGTTTTTAATTTGCTAATGGCTGCCATGAGAATGAAAAGGTTAAAGGTTAAAGGTGTGTGTGTCAGAGAGTGAGCACCTGCCCGCTCTCTGACACACACACACACACACACACACACACACACACACACACACACACACACACACACACACACACACACACACACACACCCACACACACACACACACACACACACACACACACACACACACACACACACACACACACACAGCCATGTTAAGATTCCAAACTGTAGGGAGCAAAAGGTGCTCAGTTCAAAGGGAACTGTGAACTGAGCAGGGAAGAACTGAACAACAGTTCATCAGTTCACTGGAAGTTGACAAGAAGATTACCCATCAGTCATTGCGCCTTGCTGGTGCGCCAAAAACGACAATGGACAACATCTTGTAAATCAATCAAATCACATGTATTCACAAGTTACATACATTTAAACAGAATAAGTTTTGTAATGGTATCAGATTTTGTTTCAATATATATTCAGTATTTTATTTCAGTAGTTAAAAATGTCCACAGTAGCAGCAACATGTATTGAGGTGTTTATATTACCAGGGTGACGCACAGAGGAAGTAGGATGTCTGCGTTGGTGACGATGCTGGGTGTTCTGAATGAAGGAATTTTGTCAAGGGAAGTTCCCTTAGCTGATATTCCCTGGGCAGGGAGTAGGGAGTACTGTTTATGTACTCTGTGGATCAGAACGCAACCTAAGAAGTAGGGACAAAGGCTGTGTGGGGGAGGGGTGGAGGAAGAGACATTAAGGAGAGAGAGCTTGTTAGGGTGAATGGGATGAGACATACAGGATGGAGAGTGTGCTGGTCTCATGTAGGGTGATTTGGTGCCCTCTTGTGGACATGCTGAAATAGCAGATATGTTAGTTGAATGGTGGATCAAGCATGCAGTTCATCACTTCTCTGTCCTTGGTGGATATGGATCGCATATGTCTGTGAGTGCTGCAGTATTTTGTTTGTGTTATAAGTGTTGAATTGTTTAGCATCAAATTCATGCTGTTTTTGGTTGTTTTATGGAGAAATCTTGGATGGTTTAATTAAGCTAGTAAAGAGTTGATTAGCTAAATGGCTAACACCACATAAGCTAGGCTACAGTGTTTTAGGCTACTGTATATATTTGCTTCGTTTAATTTGATTTATTTGAAGTATTGTATAGAATAATTTACACAAGGCTACATTCAATGTTTTAAATGTAATATTTCTGCTTTGTGTTC